CTGTTGCTGCTGCTGTTGTTTTTGCCGCTGATGTTACTGTTGCTGCTGTTGTTGTCGCTGCTGCTGTTACTGTTGCTGCTGCTGTTGTTGCTGCTGTTACTGTTGCTGCTGCTGTTGTTGCCGCTGCTGCTGTTACTTTTGCTGCTGCTGTTGTTGCCGCTGCTGCTGTTACTGTTGCTGCTGTTGTTGTTACCGCTGCTGCTGTTACTGTTGCTGCTGCTGTTGTTGCCGCTGCTGCTGTTACTGTTGCTGCTGCTTTTGCTGCTGTTGTTGCCGCTGCTGCTGTTACTGTTGTTGCCGCTGCTGCTGTTACTGTTGCTGCTGCTGTTGTTGCCGCTGCTGCTGTTACTGTTGCTGCTGCTGTTGTTGCCGCTGCTGCTGTTACTGTTGCTGCTGTTGCCGCTGCTGCTGTTACTGTTGCTGCTGTTGCCGCTGCTGCTGTTACTGTTGCTGCTGTTGTTGCTGCTGTTACTGTTGCTGCTGTTGTTGCCGCTGCTGCTGTTACTGTTGCTGCTGCTGTTGTTGCCGCTGCTGCTGTTACTGTTGCTGTTGTTGCCGCTGCTGCTGTTGTTGCCGCTGCTGCTGTTACTGTTGCTGCTGCTGTTGTCGCTGCTGCTGTTACTGTTGCTGCTGTTGTTACGGCTGCTGCTGTTACTGTTGCTGCTGTTGTTGCCGCTGCTGCTGTTACTGTTGCTGCTGTTGTCGCTGCTGCTGTTACTGTTGCTGTTGTTGTTGCCGCTGCTGCTGTTACTGTTGCTGTTGTCGCTGCTGCTGTTACTGTTGCTGCTGTTGTTGCCGCTGCTGTTACTGTTGCTGCTGTTGTCGCTGCTGATGTTACTGTTGCTTCTGTTGTTGCCGCTGCTTCTGTTACTGTTGCTGCTGTCGCTGCTGCTGTTACTGTTGCTGCTGTTGTTGCCGTTGCTGCCCTTACTGTTGCTGCTGTTGTTGCCGCTGCTGTTGTTACTGTTGCTGCTGCTGTTGTCGCTGCTGCTGTTACTGTTGCTGCTGTTGTTGACGCTGCTGCTGTTACTGTTGCTGCTGTTGTTGCCGCTGCTGCTGTTACTGTTGCTGCTGCTGTTGTTGCCGCTGCTGCTGTTACTGTTGCTGCTGTTGTTGCCGCTGCTGCTGTTACTGTTGCTGCTGTTGTTGCTGCTGCTGCTGTTGTTGCTGCTGCTGCTGTTGTTGCTGCTGCTGCTGCTGTTGCTGCTGTTACTGTCGCTGCTGCTGTTACTGTTGCTGCTGTTGTTGCCGCTGCTGCCCTTACTGTTGCTGCTGTTGTTGCCGCTGCTGTTGTTACTGTTGCTGCTGCTGTTGTCGCTGCTGCTGTTACTGTTGCTGCTGTTGTTGACGCTGCTGCTGTTACTGTTGCTGCTGTTGTTGCCGCTGCTGCTGTTACTGTTGCTGCTGCTGTTGTTGCCGCTGCTGCTGTTACTGTTGCTGCTGTTGTTGCCGCTGCTGCTGTTACTGTTGCTGCTGTTGTTGCTGCTGCTGCTGTTGTTGCTGCTGCTGCTGTTGTTGCTGCTGCTGCTGCTGTTGCTGCTGTTACTGTTGCTGCTGCTGTTGTTGCTGCTGCTGCTACTGTTGCTGCTGTTGTTGTTGCCCCTGCTGCTGTTACTGTTGCTGCTGTTACTGCTGCTGCTATTGTTGCTGCTGCTGATGTTACTGTTGCTGCTGCTGTTACTGTTGCTGCTACTGCTGTTACTGTTGCTGCTGCTGTTGCCGCTGCTGCTGTTACTGTTGCTGCTGTTGTTGCCGCTGCTGCTGTTACTGCTGCTGCTGGTGTTGCTGCTGCTACTGTTACTGTTTTTATTGTTATTGTTGTTGCTGCTGCTGAAAAAAGGCTGTTTTTCTGTTGATATTGCTGCTACCGTTGCTGCTGCTAAAGCGTCTGCTGCTGCTGCTGCTGCTGCTGCTGCTGCTGCTACTGCTGCTGCTTCAGCAGTCGCCAGTTACAAAACTTTGTTTCATGAATTTGTAATTATGTAAAGAGGTGGTGTGTTATGTTTGCCAGAGAGAGAGGAGAGAGAGAGAGAGAGAGAGAGAGAGAGAGAGGGAGAGAGAGAGGGAGAGAGAGAGGGAGAGAGAGAGAGAGAGAGAGAGAGAGAGAGAGAGAGAGAGAGGGAGAGAGAGAGGGAGGAGAGAGAGAGAGAGAGAGAGAGAGAGAGAGAGAGAGAGAGAGAGAGAGAGGGAATTCGTAAACACACAGACCCCATCATGCATACATAGCCATATAAGAACTGCTGTGTATTTATGTATGAACTTAAGTATGTGTGACTTGACGAGGGATTGGGGGAGACACACACACACACACACACACACACACACACACACACACAACACACAGTGGGGTTTCAGTGTGGGGTGCCACAGGGGTCAGTCCTAGGACCGGTGCTGTTCCTGGTATTTGTGAACGACATGATGGAAGGAATAGTCTCCGAAGTGTCCCTGTTTGCAGATGATGTGAAGTTGATGAGAAGAATTCAATCAGATGAGGAAAAGGCAGAACTACAAAGGGATCTGGACAGGCTGCAGGCCTGGTCCAGAAATTGACTCTTGGAATTCAAGTCCACCAAGTGCAAAGTCATAAAGATTGGGGAAGGGCAAAGAAGACCGCACACGGAGTACAATCTAGATAGCTAGAGACTACAAAACTCACTCAAGGAAACAGATCTTGGGGTGAGTATAACACTGGGCACATCTCCTGAAGCGCACATCAACCAAGTAACTGCTGCAGCATATGGGCGCCTAGCAAACCTAAGAACAGCATTCCGCCATCTTAATAAGGAATCGTTCAGGACCCTGTACACCGTGTACGTTAGACCCATATTGGAGTATGCGGCACCAGTTTGGAACCCACACCTAGCCAAGCACGTAAAGAAGCTAGAGAAAGTTTTGCAACAAGACTAGTCCCAGAGCTAAGGGCTGTCCTACGAGGAGAGGTTAAGGGAAATCGACCTGACGACACTGGAGGACAGGAGAGATAGGGGGGGGGCATGATAACGACATATAAAATACTGAGAGGAATTGACAAGGTGGATAGAGACAGAATGTTCCAGAGATGGGACACAGTGACAAGGGGACACAGTTGGAAGTTGAAGACTCAGATGAATCACAGGGATGTTAGGAAGTATTTCTTCACTCACAGAGTTATCAGGAAGTGGAATAGTCTGGGAAGCGATGTAGTGGAGGCAGGATCCATACATAGCTTTAAGCAGAGGTATGATAAAGTTCATGGTGCAGGGAGAGTGACCTAGTAGCGGCCAGTGAAGAGGCGAGGCCAGGAGCTATGAATCGACCCCTGCAACCACAGTTAGATGAGTACACACACACACACACACACACACACACACACACACACACACACACACACATACACTTCATACACATCTGTGTGCAGGTGCTCCTACACAAGTATCCATGAGTATTAAGACATTGAGAACACGTTTCGGCCCCTGGTGGGCGAAACATATCCTCAATGTCTTACTCCTCATAGCAATCAACCCTTACGTCATGATTTATATAATTATTGTTGTGAATGTGGTATGTTGATACTGATCAAGACGTTTCTGAAGGAAACGTTTGGCCATCCGTGAGTACTTCAGTTCAGGACTATGATGCTCATCAACTCCAAGGCCGAGGGACTGATTACCGCGCATTTTTCTACAGTCTTCACCTTATATCCTCGAATTGTACTGATCAAGCCACTGGTTGGCGACACGTCTACACATAAAGATACCCGGATGTTGCACATGTGTCTAATTCTTCATCTTCAGTTCTTAGAGAGAGAGAAAGAGAGAGAGAGAGAGAGAGAGAGAGAGAGAGAGAGAGAGAGAGAGAGAGCGCGAGAGAGAGAAAGTGAGAGCTTAGTTAGGACTGAAGAAGCCACCTGTGGCGAAACGTTTCCTTAGGAAACGTCTGGATCACTGCATGTGTGTCTTGCACCTGCAGTTACTAGGATCCCCTCAAGGGAGGTTCCTTGATGCTGGTGAGGGGCTCTTGATCCGGGGAATTGGATATGTACTCCAATACCCTGAATTAAGCCTGAATGCGGTCCTCCCCCTCTCCCCCCAGGCGCTCCTCATGGTAATAATAATTACTGGGGTGCCTTTTCGGACCTCGGAGAACTTTCAGCACAGAAATTTTGGCAGTCTAACCAGATTTTCAACTATTTTTTTTTTCTCACCAGCGTCATAGTAATTATTTGCGGGTTCCCTCCACGCTAGTTTTTATTTTCCATTTTAATTATACTTGTGTTTTTTTATGCTTTTTTGTGTCATGTTTCTTTTCGTTTTTGTATTGTAGCTAAAATTTCATATATTGGAAGATGCTTCATTCCACTCTGAAACGTCGAAAGAAACGTCTCAGACCTCCTGAAACGTCGAAAGAAACGTCTCAGACCCCCTGAAACGTCGAAAGAAACGTCTCAGACCCCCTGAAACGTCGAAAGAAACGTCTCAGACCCCCTGAAACGTCGAAAGAAACGTCTCAGACCCCCTGAAACGTCGAAAGAAACGTATCAGGCCCCCTGAAACGTCGAAAGAAACGTCTCAGACCCCCTGAAACGTCGAAAGAAACGTCTCAGACCCCCCTGAAACGTCGAAAGAAACGTATCAGGCCCCCTGAAACGTCGAAAGAAACGTCTCAGACCCCTGAAACGTCGAAAGAAACGTCTCAGACCCTCTGAAACGTCGAAAGAAACGTCTCAGACCCTCTGAAACGTCGAAAGAAACTTCTCATACCCCCTGAAACGTCGAAAGAAACGTCTCAGACCCCCTGAAACGTCGAAAGAAACGTCTCAGACCCCCTGAAACGTCGAAAGAAACGTCTTAGACCGTTCTGAAACGTTGAGATGCATTAGAAATCGTCTTAGAAACGTTAAAACGTTGGAAGTCACCTCAGGCGTCTCCGAGAGGTCGAAGTACATTAGAAAGTGCCTCAGACGTCTCCGAAACGTCGATGTGTGTTCGAAACGTCTCAGACAGTTCACTTTTTCCCTACAGCGGCATCCTGACGGAGGTAGATGGTCGGGAAACTTACAGTTATCACGACGCCCACCACCTTCCCTCCTTCCTCACGCCCACGCCCGTGAGGGTGGGCGGCGGAGGCAGCAGCGGGGGGTCGCACACCCCCACGCTGCTGGGGGGCCGCTCCCCCTCCCTCCAGCAGCTGGAGGAGGCAGAGATGGAGGTGGTAAGGGAGAAGAGGAACCAGAGATACATAGCCTCTATCGTCACTGCCTTTGCTCTGTGCCTGTGTCCTCTGATGATACTTAGGTGAGTATGTGTCCTCTGATAATACTTAGGTGAGTATGTGTTCTCTGATGATACTTAGGTGAGTATGTGTTCTCTGATGATACTTAGGTGAGTATGTGTTCTCTGATGATACTTAGGTGAATATGTGTCCTCTGATGATACTTAGGTGAGTATGTGTCCTCTGATGATACTTAGGTGAGTATGTGTTCTCTGATGATACTTAGGTGAGTATGTGTCCTCTGATGATACTTAGGTGAGTATGTGTTCTCTGATGATACTTAGGCGAGTATGTGTCCTCTGATGATACTCAGGTATGTGTCCTCTAATGATACTCACGTGAGTGTATGTGTCCTCTGATGGCACACAGGTATGTGTCTTCTGATGGTACACAAGTATGTGTCCTCTGTTGGTACTCAAGTGAGTGTAAGTATCCTTCCACGACTATTAAAAACCTGCTCCATCTCATATTCCTCCCTCTGTCTATCCTCTCTCTCTCTCTCTCTCTCTCTCTCTCTCTCTCTCTCTCTCTCTCTCTCTCTCTCTCTCTCTTTTAACACGGGGTTTGACAAGGTTAGGTTAAGGATCCCTAGTTTTATTGACAAACTATTTACAGGTTAAGGATTCCTAACAAGCTAAGAGCTGTTACCTACATCAGCTCATTTGAAAGCATTTTTATTGTTATGAAACATACAAGTAGGGAACAGGATGAAGTTGGAGCCATCTGTGGGCCAGCATTTTCATCTGATCAACTGACTTTATCTCGTTGACATCATTATGCTGTACGAATGTGTTCCAGACTCGAGTCATCCTGGGGATAAATGATCTCAGATGAAGTGATGTTCTGGAGAAGGGTACAGCCAGAGTGAAGTTGCTGCTTTCTGCCCGTCTTGTGGCATAAAAGCTTGTTTCACGCTGTCCTCGAAGTGGATCCAAGTGTGGTACTTTGACAATATTGGCCTTGTACATAACAGTAAGGCCACCCACATCCCTCCTATGTTGAAGGCTCTGCTGAAATGACAGATCTATCCAGGATGGGTCCAGGCGAGAGATGAGACGTCTTGCTCTGTTCTCTACTCTGTCAAGCAGTCGCCAGTCCTAATTTCCCTTTCAATTCCCGTCTCCTCTCTCTCTTTCTTCTTCCGTCTGCCAAGAAAACAGTTCTGTCTTGTAGTGCAGGATTCTCAGCCTCGCTCGTATATAACCTGAGACTTCCCTTATGTTGCTGTGTGGCTCATGTGTGTTGTGCAATTAGGACGCACGGTGCGGGTTATGTCTTAGTGTGACAATGTTTCGCCCACCAAAGGCTCTTATGTAGTTAAGTGCCTGGTGGGCGAAAGGTGTTCACAGTGGGTTGGGATAACGTACAGTGTGTTATCGTAGACTACTATTATGTTGCATTGAGTTACTCAAACCTATAGCATAGGCATACGGCCAGACCTTGTATACTGGAGTAGAAGCAAGATGAAGCAGTTGCGAGTGAAGTCACAGGTGAGCGAGGTCCGCTAATGGAAGTATGTCATCATAAATTTGGTACACTAATTAATACTTTGGTAGGGTACATCTCTGGCGTAGCTGGTGGCTGTGCGGTACAAGTCCCAGCAAGATTAATCTGCCGGTCCAGCCGCTGCCTCTTCCAGAGAATGTTACGTAAGGTTCACCTCTGTTCTCTCTCTCCCCCTCCTCCCAAAACAATCTTCTCTCCCCTCTCCCACAGTACATGGTATTCTCCACTCTCCCACAGCACACGCTACTCTCATCCTCTCCCAGCATGTCAACTTTTCATGCTAAACTTACAAGTGTACTAGTTACTGGTATACAATCTACAGACTTAAGATCTTTCTGAATCTACACATACATTCATACATATAATGTCGTGCCGAATAGGTAAAACTGGTCAATTAGCAAGAACTCATTTAAAATTAAGTCCTTTCTAAAATTTTCTCTTATACGTTTAAAGATATATTTTTTATTTTTTGTTAATGTAAAAATTAATAATTTTATACCAAAAGAACCTTAGAAAACTTACCTAACCTTATTATAACAAGCGCAATTTAATTTAGCCAATCCAGCTAAATATATTTTAGATAAGTTTACAATAATTTAATAATAAACAAACACAATGAAATATTTTTTTTCGTTAGGTTCAGAATGATTTTTGTGAAATTAGTGCATACACAAATTATCGCTTGCCTTATTCGGCAAGAAGAGCGATAAGACGAAAACAACGTAAGCCTTTATTGCACCACCGTTTCGCTCGAGGACAGCTTCATTATACCGTGTGCGAAACGTGATGATAAAGACCCATACTACATAAACCAAATTATTGATAAAGACTGTAGGCACCTTGACCATCAAGTACAGGTACCCAGGCAGTGATACTACTGAAAGTAGGTACCCGGGGCAGCGTCATTACTGTGGAAATGGTGGTACTCAGGACAGTCCCGGGGTGGCCAAGACGCTGTGGTATCACCTACGTAAATTTCTATCTCACGTCTGAAGCTCCAGGCTGACGGCCATTGCTAAATATATTCAGCCATTTAAGCCCCCTTCCCCCCTCTTCTGCGTAATTTATAGTCAGAGAAATAAATCTTCAGTGGAAGTTTCTTCTGCCCTCGAGTTAAGATTAAAAAAAAGTATTTCGGGAGAATTAACAGCAAGATATATGTTCAATTACTGAAGGGTATAAATCACAGCGGCGGAGGTGATGCTCTTTTGTCTGGGTGTTATGGACGAGATTCAACACTTTGCGGGGGTAAGAAAATGGATTCGGATCCTTTAGTTTACGACGGTTTTACTGTAGATACACAAATGTCCATCACATAGGAGAGGGACAAGCTTATGGCGACGTTTCGGTCCGACTTGAACCATTTATTGTGATCTCTAAATAATCCGGGTCAGACCGAAACATAGTTATTAGCTTTTCTCTTATATCCGGGTCATTTATGTATTGTTCCAATCACAGTATTGTCCCTTTTTGTTTTTACCGTAGATGTTTCGCTCCTGGTACCTTGAGCAAGGTCTAAAAAGCGAAATATCTTCAGCAAAGGTGTCTTACGAGACTGCATCTATGCTTGTTCCCCTCAAGTTATGGGCCGTCACTTACCTTCTTGTTGCATCTAACACTCCTCTGGGTAGGTTGAGCCTCTCACCAGTAACTCACACTTTGGAGGGGAAACTTTAGACGATGTTTCGGTCCCTCCTGGCCCATTATCAGGTTACAACTGAGCTAGTAAATAGGGTGAAGATCATCCAGTAGGTCGGTAAATAGGTACATGGGAGAAGGAAGACACAACAGACACGAAAATACCAGAGGATAGTTTAGTAATGGTAATAGAAATAGTAACAGTAGTAGTAGCACTAATAGTAATAGCAATAGTAGTTATATAAATAGTAGTAGTGATAGTAGCACTAATAGTAATAGCAATAGTAGTAATATAAATAGTAGTAATAGCAATAGTAGTAATATAAATAGTAGTAGTAATAGCAGTAATAGTAATATTAATAGTAATAGTAAAATAGTAGTGGTAGTAATAATATAAGTTTCAAGACGATCAAAAGAGCCATTCATAGGATACTGTACAGAAACCTTGAAAGCAAAAAAAAAAAAAAAAAAAAAAAATAGCTAGCCTTTTTCAGGGGATATATAATAAAATAGATTTTCGCGATTGTAGAAAATATAAAATAACGAATAAAACTAGGAAAAAAAAATTAAAAAAAAAAATGAAAACTTACCTTTTTTGTGGCTTGTTTAAATTTGACAAATTTATAATAGTTTTTTTTTCCTTCTGCCTTAATTTCCTAAATATTATTGCATAAAAATATTTCAGTGTTTGGGTTGGGTTCCAACTACTGGGCCCTTCCCTGGTTCTGATCCATAGATCCTGGCCCTCTTGGGTTTTAATATTAATCCTGGACCTCTTAGACGGTTTTAATATTAATCCTGGACCTCTTAGACGGCTTTAATATTAATCCTGGACCTCTTAGACGGTTTTAATATTAATCCTGGACCTCTTAGACGGCTTTAATATTAATCCTGGACCTCTTAGACGGCTTTAATATTAATCCTGGACCTCTTAGACGGCTTTAATATTAATCCTGGACCTCTTAGACGGCTTTAATATTAATCCTGGACCTCTTAGACGGCTTTAATATTAATCCTGGACCTCTTAGACGGCTTTAATATTAATCCTGGACCTCTTAGACGGCTTTAATATTAATCCTGGACCTCTTAGACGGCTTTAATATTAATCCTGGACCTCTTAGACGGCTTTAATATTAATCCTGGACCTCTTAGACGGCTTTAATATTAATCCTGGACCTCTTAAATTAGAAGGTTTTAATATTAGATCCTGAACCTCTGGTTTTTTTTAGGTTTAATGGCCACCTCATGCATGGGTTAAGTTACAGGTTGCTGTTAAGAGGATATCCGTTAAGATAACACAGAGACTAAAACAAGCCTAAGTGTCGATATCATGGGTAGGAAGGAGTTATCCCTATACCTGCTCATACTAGTTTTGCTGTCTGTGACTTGGAAAAAGACCAACCACTACGTGGGCGAAACGTTGCCAGCAAAAGATTTCATTACGCTTCATCTGTGTGTGTGTGTGTGTGTGTGTGTGTGTGTGTGTGTGTGTGTGTGTGTGTACTCACCTAGTTGTATTTACCTAGTTGAGGTTGCAGGGGTCGAGTCCTAGCTCCTGGCCCCGCCTCTTCACTGATCGCTACTAGGTCACTCTCCCTGAACCGTGAGCTTTATCATACCTCTGCTTAAAGCTATGTATGGATCCTGCCTCCACTACATCGCTTCCCAAACTATTCCACTTCCTGACAACTCTGTGGCTGAAGAAATACTTCCTAACATCGCTGTGATTCATCTGAGTCTTCAACTTTCAACTGTGTCCCCTTGTTACTGTGTCCAATCTCTGGAACATCCTGTCTTTGTCCACCTTGTAAATTCCTCTCAGTATTTTGTATGTCGTTATCATGTCCCCCCTCTCTCTCTTGTCCTCCAGTGTAGTCAG